ACAATGGGCTGGTGGGACCCAGAACAGCAGAGTTCCATTTCTAGAATCTCCTTTAACTGGTGGATTTGTGCTCTTTCCTAGAAACCTTCTGAAATTACTTCCCACCATTTAATCAGTAGCAGAGATGATGTCAGTGCAACCAGCTCAAGTATTTCACAAGCTAACATCTGTATGTGCCCACAGCAGTCCAGGGGTTAAGTACGACACTTGCCAATCCCAGTTTTGCCACCACTGATTAACAAAATGATCTAATGAATATAGCACTGTGCACCTCAAGGAAGCTCAGCCACAACCATTAGCAATTAGAGGAAACCTCTTGGAGAAACTAAATGAAGGCTGAAGCTTTGATTTTTTCATTGTAGCTCTTTTGCCTGTTACAGGGTGTTAAGAAGTGTGGGTCTGGAGGTGGACCAGATGACCTCTGGAGCCTCAACATCAAAACCACCAGAGACAGCTCTGGTCTCCACCCCTCCTGGTGGCAGAAGGCATTAGAGCCACAGCAGCTGTGCTACACAACACACATAAGCTCTGAGACACCAGGGTGCCTCTATGGTGGCACAAGTCATGGAGACTGCTCCTGGTCACTGCATAAGTCACGGTGCTGGAAAGGTTGGACTTTGCAATGGCCTCCCTGAAGGAAGGATTATTTTCTCTATGGTCTTTCAGATCAGACAAGTGGCATTAACTCTTTGTGTGTCAGCTGTAGGGAGCATGGCCTGCCATCATTGGTGTACACAGACCCAGCCTGTACCCTTCAAACACAACCAAAGTTTGTTCTGAGAGCACGGGCTTCAGTCAGGAGCAGACTAACCCTGCAAAGGATGCTGAAGGTTGAAGACTGGTTTGCACAGAAGCACCTTGGCGTTTATTTTGTGATGAGCTGCAGCCCACAAAAGTGGCAATTAATATACTGTGTGTGTAAGCCTTGGCACGCAGGAGGCAGGAGAAGGACACAATAGGTCACCAGCCCTTCACGAAAAATGCCCATTCCTTTCTTTGCACAGTGCTGAACAAATCATAAAACCCTCTCCCATGCTGTCAATGTCATGGTAGGGCGTAAGCAATAGGAGCCCTGGAGACAAAGCCATTAATGAGTGAAGTGCCTAACGTCCTAGGCCAAGGCTGTGATTTGTAAGCACTGAAGTGGACAAAAGCAGCTCATCTCTCTCCACCTCCCCAAAATAAAGCTAAAACAAAGGAGTCAGAGGGGTTGAGAATCAGGGAGAAAAGTGGATTTTTGGGTTCAATTTTCACTTTGCACTGGAGCTTGCCCGATTTCAGAATCACATACCATGTCTTCTGTGTGCTTAGCAAGACCTCAGTCGTGTCTTTCATACTGATATTCCTAACACACAAAAAGTGAGGCAAAGACAGGGCTGAGTCAGTTTGAAGAGAGCCTGATGCCCCCAGTATGCACCCACATCTCCGCTTGGTGAATCAGGCTGTCTGGAGACTGAATGAGAGTGTGTTCCTCTACCACAGAAGGCCAGTAAGATAAAAATATCCCCCAAAAGCCTACATTCAGCTTGGAAACACAGTGCTGAGCCAGGGACAATGATAATAGGAAAACACAATAGTTCCTCAGAGCAGTCCTAACATAATAGATTATAAATGGCAAAAGGGGAGGAGAAAGGAGTGAGGGCTATTTTATCACTATTCTAAAAGCATTCAGAGGAAATAAATTTGGATTCACTTGACAGTTCTTGAAATCCAAAACATGCTAAATATAATGCTGAATGTCCCTAAACCCAAAACATGTCAGCAAGAGTCCCTTAGCCAGGGTGTTCTTTTTCCCCCCTCCCCTGGTTTAGCCTTTGCCCCATGATGGTTATTTGCCTTTCTGAAGAGCTTAATCAGGAGCTATTAGAGACAGTGCTCTCTAAGCTGTATAATGTTAAAAGTCCATTAGCTCACCCCAAGCAAGGCTGGCAGGAGGGAGATGATGTACTTGCTGAAGTTGAACAAGCTATTTGCATGCTGAATACCTCTAATCACTGAGCAATGCCAGGAGAATGTGAACATTATTACACTCAGCTGCCCAGCAACCTTCCAAACACGCTCACTTTAATACAAGACAAAGTGGCAAAATGCATCCAGCACTGAACCCAGAAAAAGGGACAGATGGGTGTTTTTAAGCAATTCTAGGCACTGACTATGCACACTTTTAAAAAAAAGAAAAGAGAAATAATCATTAGCAAAGTCTATCTTCCATCTGCCACAGTCACTTGCATTGTGCATGGTCACTTGTATTATGCATGGGTTAATAAAACATGATAAATGTCTGCTTACTTTTGGTCTGACCACAATTACTTCTCCCATCTCTCTTACTGGCGAGAAATCCTGTGGGAAGAGCAAAGGCAAAAGCATTTTCCAAGAGTAGGACAGAGCCAGGATGCCCAAGGAGGATCACACTGGGAAGTGGAGCCTCTTGAAGGGCACTTTTCCTTCCCCTCCACCTTCCTGATGCCTCAAAGCCAGACCCTCTTGGCTGGGACTCCCTCCCTTTTAACCCTGTAGGAGTCAGTAACTCACAAAGGACACCTCCTACCTGCCACCAGCCCCTCACAAACTGTCCCAGTCCTTTTGCAACATCACTCAGGACAGGGAGAAGTCAGCAGAGAGGTGGCTAATGGGCAAAAGGAAAAGGAAAAAGAAATCTTATCTGCCATAGCAGTGGGTGCAGAACTGAACCTCCCATGGAGACACTGGCTCACAGCACTGACTTGTCTCTTCTTAACATCAGCAGGGAAGATGCCTACATTGCTAATTTAAAGCAAATTCCCTCTTATTCCAGTGTTTGTCAGATTGGCCAAGTCTCTAACCCCATGGGGCTGAGTGCTCTAAAATGCTTGTGTGAATGACTTTCAAGAACTCCCTAATAGGCAAAGCACCACGGTTTCATTGAGACTTGCAGAGAGAAGTAAAGAGTAAAAGGTCATTGGTATCTAAACCCACTGACTACTTTGAAATCCCACAAAGAGACCTCTGCACTTCACAAGTCTGTGCCAGCATATACTCAAAGGCGAGAGGGGAAAACAGAAAAGGAAGAAAATAGTCTTTTGTGTTCTCTGATACACAAAATACTAGTCACCTCTCTGGGCTGGCAGCCTGCTTCATTAAATTAACTATAGCATGTGGAGAGGAGCAAATACTAGACAGATACAAACCTACTGCAGATTAGGATTCTGTCTCCATGGAAGACAGATTATCCAGATAGAGGATATAACATTCTCACAAACCTACCTGGAAAACTGCTTTTCAGTCCAGTAAGAAGTCAAGCCTCCATTCCCCCACAAAAAACAAAACAGAACAAAACAAAACAAAAAAAAAGACCCCAACACACAGAATGCAGGAAGAACAAGGTGGATACTTTTCAAAATGTTTTTTAATTAAAACCAAAAAACGGAGCACACACCAGAGCTTGACATGGGCTAGTCAAACTGCTGGTCACCAGGACATTGAACTGGCATGAGGAAGGCTGTGTTTCTGCATATCTCAGGAGCACTGGCACAGACAATGGGACTCCTGGGAGAGTACTCTGCCTGCCAGGCTACTGCTGCTTTGTGCTGAGCAGATTTCTCATGTGGTGATGGGAAACTTCATCCTGCAGCCCAGATTCTTCTTTCAACAAACAGAAGTCCCAGAGACTGGGGAAGAAACCATTACAACAAATCTGCATGTTCCAAGCACTTCTGGAGAGGATTCTCCAATGTTTCTCCTGCATCCCCAGGCAGGTTACACAGGTTTATATGGAGACTCATCTTTGGCAATAGCCACACAGGTAGGACCCGGTTCTGCTTCTGCTGAAGTCAATCCATGTCCTTCCCCAGAACAAACTGCAGCTGCACCAGGGCTCATGATCAAGAGCCAATTGTGCTTTAAGGTTAAATCCTCATCCACTCCATCAGGCCAGCAACTTCTGAGAGCTTCTTGTAAGTGTGTACCAGTAAGTTCAGGTAAATGTGAACATCTTGGCTATAGCAATGGGGTGAAATTTTCAATTATGCCCAAGAGATGGAGGAGCTAAAGTTTTGTTTTAAGACTTGGGCACTAGATCAGGTATTGAAACCTCCTTGCCATCTAATAAAGCAGTTGCCAAAGCTGTTGGTGTGCTGCTCCACCAGCCTGGTTTCTTTACCACAAAGGCTGGGCTGAAAAAGTGACACATTTTTCATACACAATTTTTATGTTAGAATTTACTAGATATGCACCTCATTTGTCTGTCAAATATTTGAAAAATACTTCAACCTGCTCTAATAATCACATTTTAACACATGCATCAAGTTTGGATCAGAACAGCATCTCTGGGACAATCAGTAAGCCCAAGTTGCTGATTTAAGGCCTAAATATCAGTCACTGGCCAGCCAGCCACAATAAGTCACTCTATCCATGAACTCTTGGAATTATTTTTGGCTCAGACTAACCCTTGTTACCAAACATCTTACCCTACACACAGAAGAAAAGTGTATGTGTTTTTCAAGGCTACTGTTGCACCACAAGTTTACATACAAACACAACTTTTGCAAACATGAGACCAGAGTAAGATCTCCCATATCCCAGGGTGAGTCAGAAAGTTCTCAGGAGTCCAGGGAATGGTAACTGCCAGAAAGGATCAGGCCTAATTACATGCATTAGAGAAGCAAGGTAGCTCCTTTGCTCAAGGTCTGGCTGATTCACTTTGCACATACCACTGCTTTAGCATTACATCCTTATCTAATGGTAAACCTGTTTCAACAACATGCAATACATATTAATGCAATATGCACTGCAACACACAATACGCATCCAAAGAAATATGCCAATGCAAAACTCTGACTGCTCACACATAGCCGGGCTAACAAGGAAGTCTTTTACAAAAGACAATCAAGAAATCACCTGAAACCGTGAGACCTGAGGGGCCTCAAGCAATCAGCAATATCGAGACCTAATAACAGATGCTAATTCATGAAAGAAACACAAACAGTGGGACTGAGGTAATGGCAGAGATTTCATTAGTGCAATTACATTTAAAATGGTATGTTCTTTAATAGAATTTAAATAAGGCTTTGAATAATTACACACACTAAAACTAACATTCCATAACCTTATTCCGCATGGAAAAGCAGCAGAAACAACCCTCTGGACTGTACAAGGTCCAATTAATGAACAATTACATTCAAAAAGTAGATCAAAACAGAAACTCTTTCCCCAAAAAGCTACATCATCATCTTTAAAGTCAGCTTTCTCCCCTAGTATCAGAAATGTGAAGAACAGATGAACTGGGCTTCAACCCAGTAGATTTGGCCTTGTCAAATTACCAGTAGTGCTTTCCAACCCAGTCTCTCCTCATTTCTTTAGGGTGATGGAAGCTCATGGAAAAAGAAGTGAATTTCTGAAGCAACGGAAGGTGAATTGTCTTTCTCCCAGCCCAACAATGTACATAAATTATGGAAGCTTGGAAAAAAACCCTACATTACACTGTGGCTTGTGTTTACAATGCGTGTCCTCCTTTAGAAACTACTCACAGACAATGGGGCAGGGTGGGTGAAAAAATCCAAAGCAGCATATGAAATAGTAATATACTGTTCCAAAATCTGCACCGTCCTGCAGAACCAGGATTTATAATTTATTGAGATTGTTCTCAACAGATCCAATCTATGCTGGATATGTAAAAATCAAGAGACTAAGTCATCCAGGAAAAACAAATGAAAAAACCTGCACACTGCAAGAGTTTTAAAAAACAAAACAAATAAAAATCCCAAGAAACACTGACGAAAGCTCAGAAAAATTTATCATCAATTCTGAAGTGGGGCCTTGTGACATCATCTGGATTAATGAAGACAGAGATGGACTTCCCAGGGTTCTCAGTTACTAGCTGTTGCAACTTTTTGGCTAATCGGTCATCAGGCTGGTTGGGGTCCCCGCCATCCGACTGTGGGGAGGGGATGCTGGTGGTGCTGCCCCGCCGCTGGAGCTCCAGGGTGAGCCTGTTGGCTGCTTTGACGTGTTCGATGGCAGTTCGGAGGTGCTCGGCAGGGTCGGAGCGCACCGAGGACAGCTTCCGCGCATGGAGCATGACGGTGTCTTCGGAGAGGTGCTCCAGCATGTTGCACTGTGGGATGAAGTAGTTAGGGCACATCTTGTTGACCAAGCAGTGCTGGAGGTCATCAATGAGACCCAGGAGGAAATGGGCTGCGTAATCCTCCTGGGCCAGGTAGCTGGCTGGCAGCCTGTCACAAGCCCACAGCATCATGCTCCGCAGGTGATATGGACTAATGGCTTTGGGGCGGGACAGCAGTTTGATGATGATGGCTTTGCAGGCCTGGTAGGCTTGCATGAGGCTGCTGGAGATACACTTTTTCAGCTGCACTTCACTCCTGGCAAACGACAGCCTCCATTCATTGTCCTTCTTCCCCTTGTAGGAACATGCAGGCACTAAATAAAACCCACTTATGACCTCCTCCTCTGTGATCTTCCCATCCCAGAAGTGGTTCTCCATCAGCCAGCTCTGTGCCACGGCTGGCCAGCCTTTGAAGGACACCACGGGGACAATGTCATACAGCATTCGGCTGCTGCCCACTCCCAAAATAATGGATATGATAGTCCCATTCTTTTCTACCTTCTCCACCTTTGGCATCCCTCGTTGGGGCTTTTTCTGGATCTCAGAGAGGACAATGCTAATGGATTCATAGAACCAGTCTGCGACTTTTGTTGGGGAGAAGAAGTAATTGGTAGCTCCATTGATATGGTCCACGATGGTGCAGCAGTCCTTCCATTTGCTGATGGTTCCTTCGTCGAACAGGCGCAGGCTCAGCCAGGAGTGGCACAGGGCCGAGTGGCGCATGTCCAGCGTGACCGGCTGGTTGCGGTCGTGCAGCTTCAGCGCGGGCACCAGCAGCGTGAAGTCCATGTCATAGTCTGTGCCCCGGGCATAAACATTCAGCTCATCGAGGTCGATGTCCACCACACCTTCCCGCACGCCGCCTGACAGCAGCAGATACTCGTTGGCTACAGGCAGCTTCTGGTCGAGTTTCTGAACCATGCCTGAAAAAGACAGAAAGAGAAGTCCTTTCAAAAAAGGCAGACAGATCCAGGATTAAAACCCATTCCATGCCCAGCAGGAAAGAAAAGTAACAAGAGGTATCTATCTCTTTTGGTGTGGCAAAAATATACATCAGGCCCAGCACTCAGACATCTTTGGTCTCACCTGACTCAAAGCAGAGCCTTCCCTGCATTCCTCAGAATGTGTGAAGTCCATCCTGAACATCACACTGCGAGCAATCGGAAAAAGCAGAAGCCTCTGGGGAAACACAGCAAAGCTGCTTCCAGGACTAAATTTAACTTTTTTAACACCTTCTAGACCAGTTTTTCATCCTATTGACATTCATTTCCATGGTATCCAAATGTTTCACCAACACTCCAGAGAGAAAAGAGAATATTAATTGACTTGTTGTTCTTATTTTCTCTCTGATGTAGAAAAAACCTGGACCAGCATCAGGGAGTTGGTTTGTTCATGAGTGAATGAATGGCTACAAATGTTAGTTCAAGCAGGTCTGATTTCACAATCTGCATTACATTTACTGATGAACAAGGCAACATGAACAAAAGAAATGCATCCTTATGGGTGAATGGAGCAGTTAAATGATCAGGCAATTAGAGAAGCCAGCTCTGAAATCAGCTCTTCAGGCTGCAGTGACATAAAATATCTGATCAGCTCCTCAGAACACAGACATGAAGACAGATTTTTATTTTCAGCACCAAAACCAGACACGACATTCACCCTGCAGTGCCTGTACCAGTTGTACAAAGCCAGCTTTTCACCGGGAATTCTATATATACACCCCACTATACTGTGTCCATAGAACATGAACAGCAGACTGAGAAGAGACTCTACACAGAAGCTGAGATATTAGCACCTCATTCAGTGTTCAAATTAGGCTTAAAATTGAGCTCTGCACTTCAATTGCTCTGCAGTCTGCTCCTGCTTTCTGGGCTGTTTCACTGCTGGTGTTCCTCTTGTGGTTAAACACTTTTGGTTACTTCCCAGCCTCAATTCAGCTACCACACCTCAGCCATGAGGGAACAAAGTCTGAATGGAGATGCTGAAGCTATTATAAGCACTGCAAAAGGGATAGATCCTTACTCCTTACAAGTACAAACGTACTAATTTCTGCTGGCATGTATTACTGACTCCAGCTTCTAAAAGGCAATATGGTTTGCTTACATCAAGAATGGTCAAATGGACAACTTCCATTAAAAGGAAGCCAGTCTTAGAAAGACAGCAGTGGGAATAACTATCCAGAGGCATAACAGAGTGAGCCAGAAAGCTGCCAGTCACTCTGTCAGCCCAGAGATCACAGGCAGACACATTAGGAATGTTCTTTAGTGAAACACAATTGATCAGCACTACAGTCTGAGCACCAATCCTGTCATAGTTCAGCAACTGCAGAGCCCTTCCTGAGGTAATGCATCCCTGCAGGATCACAGACGCTGCCTGTACTGAGTGGGTCACCCTAGCAAGAGAGCAGCAGCAGCACCCCAAGGCACTGAGGGCTGCACTAGGCTGAGTGGCACTGCAGTGCTTTCAGAGAGACTCACCTGCCCTTTCCTGCATGCTAGGACAGCAACAAGAAAATGTTATCTGCATGCATATAGGTAAGCCATGACCAGAGCAAAATCTAAAGCTCTGTTGACACTGATTCCTTGGAAAAGCCAAGGAGACCATAGGAAGGGGCCTCTGTGTGAAGCAGAATGCTTCTTGGGGTAATATTCAGTGTACCTGAAACCCATCCCCACCCAATGTGAAATTCCTTTTTAAATACACTTTACCTGTTCCATTCCTTCCAAGAGCACTGGACCCCAGTGTCCATTTTGCTGCACTGAGCTGGGATGACTTTCCTGCCAGGCAAGCAAGAACATAAACCCCTTCCATTTCATGCAGCTCCAGGGGCTGCAATAGAAGGAAACAGCTCTAAAGGAGTGCTAAGAAACTCTTCCTGCTAAATCCTGAGCTAATCCCATTCTGCAATCTTGCCACACGCTGCCCTGTTCATCCTCAAAGGGTAATAACTAAGAAAAGCTTCTGTCAACCTCTAAAACATTTTCTGAGGCTTATACACACAGTGAGCTGTGTTACCCTGATCTGTGGAGCGGCAAAATCTCGCACAGGCTTCTCTATCCCAGAGGCCAAATAAGTAGCAGTCAGTCTTCTGCTGCACCCAGAAGGGGTTTTCTGATGGGTACCTAAATTGACGTGACTTCTGCAGACACTACTGACACACTGCCTCTGAATCCTGTGCTTGAACCAGTGCAAGCAGCCTTAGTGCTTTACACCTCTGTTATAAGTTCAGTCCAATACCTACCAAGTAGAGTCTGGACCAATCACATCATAGGGACAGGAAGCAATTCTTTTTTTCCCTTAAGATTAAAGTACTACTGGCCCTCACTGTGGGGCAGCAGAGCTATTCATGATAGGAAGGGTTCTGATGGCCCATCCTACCTCTACACTCACCCAAAATTTCCCACTCAGGATGGTGATCTACAGCATCTGCCATGCAGATCTGCAGATGTTCCTGAGTAAGGCAGACAGAATGGAACTATCCAACAGAAGAAAATGTTCAGACCTATAGGATTCAGTAAAGGATGAATTTTTCTAAATATTTTAAAACTTGAAGGATGAAAAAATGCTCTGCAGTGGGTCCTTTGCACCAGAATTTCTATCCCAGAGCCTTTGACTGAAAAAAAAAATCATGATTTTTCTAAAGGGTAGAGATCTTCCACTACAAAATATGCTGTTGGATGAGCTGTCCTCCTTGGCCTGAAGAGATCCTTTGTCCTTACGTGGGAGCAATAGAGTTAATAGTCTAACCCCCTTCAACCAACAGCAGGTGGGACTCAAGCCCTGCCTTCTGTACACTATCAATGAGTGATTTTCCCTCTCCAGAACCCTAGACCTACCAGCAAAAGAGAAAAATTGAAATTTAGTAAGGAGATGGTTACAGGAAATGATCTAATATATCATCAATATCTCTCTACCTGGCTGGCTGCAAAATTCAAACCTTTGAGCTCTGCTTGGCACCAAATTTCCCCTTCAAGTCCTGAACCAGCAACATCTGCACCAGCTCTGCCACAAGAACAAGAGAAGGAATTTTTGCTAACAGACCACAGCAGCATTGCTGATCCAACTGAAGTGGTGGAGCAGGGAGTTGAGATAAGGTCCCCTTGAGGAAAGTATATTTAGAAAAGGCATAGAGTGTTCTATAAATAGTTGAGCTGCCCAAATTCAAGATTACCTAAGGCTTTAGGGGTTTGCAGTGTCTTCGAACTGTCCCCCCTTGCTCACAAACCTATTTAAAATGTGAAGGGGCTCCAATGAATCCCATGAGCCAACACTGTGGCACACACTACCCTGTCACAAAGCTTTCATCCCAAGTTTCTACAGCCCATGCATGAACATCAGAAGTAAGTGCTCCAGTTCAGCAAGCATCTAAGTGCAAATACAAAGAAAAACACCAAGACTGGTACTCAACCCAAGTAATTAATAGCACCAGTGGGCCATTTGAGCTCTGTTCTTTTCATCTCAGTCCCAGGTCCACCAGGGAGCAGGAGGCAATAGGGGTTACAGAAAAACTAATGAAATTTATAGAAGCCCTCTGGAGTTGTCTGTAAAGACCAAACCAGAATTTGTAGGGTTAAACACACACACACAAAAAAAAATTAGCTGAAGGACCAGCTCTCATGGTATCAAAGTAGCTTCACTGATACTTAAGAAGCCTCTTGCTGCTACTAGGCAAAACATACAATTTGCAGTAGTACCTTGTGTGACATTGAAAAGGTTGTTGGGCAGCACTTAAGTGAGAGACTGGTGTACAGTTACCACTTCTTTCTAAAACACCTTAAAGGAGTTCTGTTTTTCTAGACTTGTAACTAATTTAAGATCTTCCCAAGCTATTAAATTTGGCATTCTAACAGGTAAGTATGCTTGCAAGCATGAGAAAGACAAGGATTGTAAGAATCAGGAGCACCACCTGTAGGCCAGGCTTGCTGGTTGGTTTACTAAACATGAATTCAGAGAAACACAGGTGAGCAACTGAGTTCTACCAACAGAACTTCATTCCTCTGTTGTTTCTTCAGTGTTGGGGAAAAAAGGATTTATTTCTACTTCAATCACTAAGATACAAAGAGAATAAAAACAGGGAAAAGATACTTTATATAACACCTACATTTGGGACACATCTTTGAATGAACTGTGACTCTGATGCAGATGACACAGAGACTATTCTTGACATTAAAAACAAAAAAAAGGCAACACAAAAATGCTCTTTACATGCCATTACAGAATTTCAGATGAACTGAAATGACCATTGCAGTGTGTGCTGGGATCCACTGCTATTTCGTTACTAACTTTGTGTAAACTAAGGAGGAACACATAGATTTGTCTTTGAAGAAACTGATCACAAGAAAAACACAATGTAAAAACTTATTTCTAACATACGCATTTCCTAATTTTGGGTTCCTTCTTGAAGTCTTGCTTCCTGATGCTTTAGATGTGCAACCATTGCCACCAAAAGGAAACACACAGGCAAAACAAGATGCTGTTTGGTCTCATCAAACTGAATGGGATGATGTTCAGGGCAGTCACTGAATTCAGGGAGGCTTCTGCATGGGAGCTAGAGAGAGGTCAAAGGAGCAATGGGGTGCTCAGAAAGAGGAGAATCAGCAGAACCTTGCACACAGAAGAAGCCTATCACAGGAATTCTGGGAGCCAAGCCAGACCCAGACATTAACTGGTGTATGCCCCCCCCAAATTCCCTGGCAGCCTAGGGAGAAGACATATAGAAGGTATCTGCTTTATATATATGATCTGTTCTACAGGGAAAGCTAAGGACCACTCACATGTGTGACTGCCTCCCTCTTCTCTACTGCTTAATCCTTCCACAGGACCCAGCAAAGGCTCTTGATTTTTCCTCACAGGTTCATCCTGTTTGATGCATAACCTTGAGAATGCCGTTCTTCTTCTATATCATTACCATCCTGTAAATCCC